AAGTGTAATATGACACATTTCCATTTACTCTTGCTTTTTTACTAACTTCAGAGAAGGTAGAGCTAGAGATACTTGTGTCGGAAAAATCAATAACTTATCTTTGGTCTGTAAGCTGTTATAACAAGATAAACATTTTGCTTTCCTCCGTCTCGTACTAATAATTTAAAACCCTGTTGTATATCGTGTAGGTCAAAATCAATTGTTCCCACTAAGTATTATAATTCCTGTGCAGCCAAGATCAACAGCTTGGTAATCTATGAAAGAAGTTGAAGTCTTGGGGATAGCTTATAATCATCGTCATCATCATCATCATCTCAGCCACAAGACGTTCACTGCAGAACATAGGACCCTAATGATTTCCACATCGTCCGGTTAGTAGCGGCCTGCATCCAGCGCCTCCCCGGGGGTAGCAATGTGAGAAAATGTCGATATTTCTATTTATTTTTAAGTAGCCAGGATATTATACATTTTGTGACCGCCAACCAGACCCAGTTGAAGGTTGAGCAGTTCCGGGAGAAAGTTGAAATGTTTTAGGTTTCCGTAAAGAAATCAATCAATAGTTATCAACAGGAGCTATTAATATAAACACAGATTAAAAAGGGAAGAACTATAAGTAATAAGGAAAATATTTAGAAAAAGGTATTTAAACAGTGATTCTTGGAATAAGTTTTCCAAATAAAAATAAGTGGCGTTAATCAAGAATCCTAAACGATTAAATTGTAGGTACCTATTAAAATTGTATAATTATATACCCATCAAAAACTCCACGTGTAAAGTTGCGGAAAATCTGTAACCTAATTAATATTTTCATCCCATTAAGTAGTTAGCAAAACCATAAAAATATAGGCTATAAAACTGCAAGGTCGAACTTCACCATGAGCTGATGACGACCTAACCACTATAATTTCATGGGAATACCGCGATACAAAATGACAGCCATGTCAACTGGACACTAGCCGTAATTAAACCGTTTATCTTACATGATAGGGTTTTACTTTGTATTGTGTATCAATCCACTAGTTTATGAACCCTGGTTTCATCATTTTACTTAACTACTTGCTGTGTGGTTCTCGAAGAATAGAGTAGGACTATCTTGACTCTCCCTATGCAATGGATGTCATAAAAAACATACCTACATACAGTCTGGTACTGGTAGTACTGGTACGAAGCGCTGGTAGGGCCCAAAAGATAAGGAGACATGTAAAGTGCCCCATAAGGGCTACCTTTTCTTTTTTTATTATTTTCTATTGACGTTCATAAGTGCCACTTGTGGTCTAAACTGAATAAATATTTTTGATTTTGATTTTGAGTCGAACATAGAACCTCCTCCTTTTTTGAAGTCGGTTAAAAAGGCGATTAATGCTGGTTTTCTATATTCAATCCTAATCCAAATCCGTCCGTCAGCTGTCAAATTTCAATATAATGTTTTTGGTCAAAATATCTGCGGTTTTCTATGTTTTTCATATTGTTTATAAGAATATTAAAACAATATTGAGGTGTACCTAAACATGCATCAAAAATGAATTAAATTAGACAGTTGAAATCGGGATTTGGACCAGGATTGAATATGGGAAACGGGCGTAAGGGGCAAAATTAAATATGCGAACTTCAGTCAGGCCTCTTTAATCCCTTTGGCCAGAGTGTGAAGTACTCGTATACCCAAATTTTACATTAGACAGACTTAGAATGGTTTTCCTGTAGTAGACTTCGACGATGATGGATGACCTAACTGCTAGGTATGTTAGGGGCATTAGTGCTTCAAAACTAAACTATTTAGATTCAAGTTTCCTTCCTTATTTTTTAGTCGAAATGATGATATTTTTTAAATGATTCATACCTACTCAGGAAACTATTTTTATATGCCATCTTAGGCATTTTGATAAATTAGAAGTCGGAATTACTCTAGATTTACAGTGTATTCTTAAAAGACATAAAGGGAGTTGAAGGTGCTGTCAGAGTACAAGCAAAGTTTTTAATATTGAACGAAAATTTAAACAAAACTACTCGTACTGTAAAACTATTTCTTTACACCCGGTATATAAACAGACGCACCTTCCGATCCACAAATGTTAAGGTTATCATAGCATTAGGTAAAACAATCGCTCTTAATCACATTTCCCACCCGGTGACATCATGACCCGCGGTGCCTGGCACGCGGCTCGAGTCGCTGTGACGTCACACTTTTTGTAAACACTAGTGTTACAAGTGTTAATTTGCTATTGTTATTTCGTGTTTCCTGATTTATTTAGTCTTTAAGAATTATTTCTTGCAAAGATCCAAAAGATTTGTTCAAGTAGATGTGTTTGTGTTACTTCATTCGTTCCTTTGTTTCAGATAAATGGCGCCCACGGCTGGACAAAGGCCTCCCTCAAGGATTACCATAATGACTGGGCCTGCTCTTCTGCCCGCATCCAGGTAAGTGACAGATGATAGAAATTACTATTACGATTAATACAGACTAAACTTCATCAGTATTGCTTTTATGAACATAAGATAGGTACATTCTTGTGATGCTTCTTCTTAGAATTGGCCCATATTATTGTTACCAAGATATTTTTGGACACAATAAATGTTACACATAATTTTCCTCTCTGTGAAAGATATATAAAATCAAAGAGCATTTTCACAGCTTCTGATAACACCAAAGTGTGATGAATTTCATCGTATTCTGTAGATCAAAATAGGAATTAAATCTGCCCCCGCACTGTGACCTTTTTACAATCTGACGCCGTATTTTAAGCATTCTATATTTTAAATTTTATTACAGATTTGCACTGTTCGAAAACGAATTCTTAATAACGCTCAGTCATTTCTTGAACTTGGTAAAGAGCAGTGGAGCAATCATATTTTAAATTCTACTTGTAGAAATCTAGATACCTAGGTTGTGTTATCAATTTCGATAATAATTTGTTTCTTTAGGATCTTAACACAACTTAACCCTTGGAAGTACCTATAAGGCCTGAAGTTATAAAATAAAGGAAATAATAATAATAGAACAGAAAACATATGTGTACCTATTTCAGGAAGGAAAAATTGTCAGGAAAAGAGAGATAAATTTAAGCTATACATGCCCAATACAAATATTCCTAAGAATTTTTACAGGTTTTGTGGGCCAGTTGAAATTTTGATTAGCTTATTCAAGAAACCTTCTATTGGTAGGTATTCTATGTGCGTAGTGTGTTGCAAGTATTAAGAACCAGCCAAAATAATTCCAATATTAATAATAACTAGACTGGCAACATTGTACCCATGCGATGCAAAAAAGTCCTAAAATTACCATGAAAATCCGGTCCAGATGTATCGTATACCTATTCCTTAGGCATAAGGTTGGTATTGGCTTAAGTTTCTCTAATAATGCCAGTAGTTTTTTTATGACCTTTTTGCATGAGAGTCATCGGCCGGCATCGATCACAACAGGTATGACCGAATGATCTAACACATGGTTTTCGGACAGACATTTTGTCTCTTGACTAATCATGCTGCGGTGAAAATTAGAATTATAGCTTTTGCTAAAAAACTTCTTTCGTTCGGCCATTTCAGCCGTCCACTGCTGAATATGGATTTTCGCAGCGACTTGTCCTGCGCTTTCCCCATTCAGGTGACTCTCGATATCTTCAGCAGATCGTCGGTCCACTTAGTGGAAGGTCTATTTGCACTTCGTCTTCCCATCCATGGTTACTGACTAAAAAACTAAGCCTGTTTTTTATAATTCTGCTATAGGAGAATGTTATTTATAGCCCATGAGATATGCATTCAACATTATCATCACATAATTTAAGGCCTTGAAAGCACTTTAGTCCCGTGCGCCAGTAAGGAAGAAATCCTGACCTTCAGGTGGAATATCTCAAAGCAAATGTAACATTAACCCAAACTTTCACTTACATTATTGACAGCAGCAAATACTTATGTAGGATGGGAAAAATCCCACATTTCTGTTTACTGAGGCTTTCTGACTTTTGAAGGCGTGTATGATTTAAACATGGCTCCGAAGTTTCTTTGTCGGAATTCAACGCCTCGAGTGAGTGAAGGACACTTGAGGTCGTCTTATTTGACGGCGTCCAAAGGGTTAAGCTGACCCTCGTCAACTTTAACGCGTCACTGGACAGAAATAGGGTTAAGTGTTAAAGCCTATTCTGTGTCTGAAAGTGAAGCCTGAACTTCAGAGAATGGTTTAAATTGAAAAACTAAATTAGATGTAAAATCTTATCAGGAGTTAATACCTAAGTGGAATATTCGGTAAGAAGAAGATATTTGCTTTAAAAGAAAAGTGTTCACTCATTTGAAAACGAATTTCTTTAAACTTGGAAAACGGATTGAGCATTTGATCCGTCGCATTTTTAGTAGGATACAAAACGTATTTTCCTCGACATTATAGTTTTTAGCTAGGCATTTTGTACTGGTGATTTATTGTAAATATGAATCGGAACCCACCGAAAATCCATAAATCTAACTTCCAGATTGTAAATCACAGTTTCTCACCCATAACTCAGACCTCGAAAGTGGTCGAGTTGCGAGCCGTCCCAAATCGCTACTTGACCGTAACATGGCGCTAAAAAACCGGCCGTCCTCGCCTGTACCGAGAAAAGGTTTTTGTTGCTATACAGTCAACGCTGATAGAAACCGGCAGTTGGAAAAATGATTAACCAAATACTTATACTTAGACCCGTATACCTACTACAATGAAACTCAAGTTTGCAAGAGTCAAACATTATGGGCCTAACTATAACTCTGGGTAGTTCGTTTCAGCCGAAAGACGTCCACTGTTGGACAAAGGCCTCCCCCAACGATTTCCACAAAGACCGGTCCTGCGCGCCCGCATCCAGGCACCTCCCACGACGACCTTCGCCAGATCGTCGGTCCGCCTTGTGGGAGGCCTGCCCACGCTACGTCTTCCAGCAGATGGTCGCCACTCAAGAACATTCCTGGCCCAGCGGCACTAACTCTCTAATCAGTAGGCAACAGAGCTGTCTAAACCTCCTAGTGGGCATCGTTCTGTTATGAGCCTCAGAGGATTTGGGTTTTTAAAAAAGAACACGAGATTAATGGGATAAGACAGCCGTCTAGTTCGGATGGTGGAATGAGACTGACTTGGAGATGCGAGGTATCGCAGGCTATGGATGGAAAAGGATGAGTCGGCAAAAGGCGGAATGTCAAGTAAGCAATATAGGGTGCGAAGGCTATCTGTAACACCTCCCGGGGGTAGACTAAACATCGGGGTGAAATGAGCGATGTTTAGGAAAAAACGGAAAAGGTAAGTATTTAGGTTTTACACATTTCTGCGTATACTAGGAGATGGGATTTCTTCTGCATCAGGATGACGTTTAATGATCTTCAAGGGAATGGCTGGTTCGGGAGTTGGAGGAGCTGGAGCTGGTTCTACAGGTAAGTTTTCAGGATTGGCGCGAGAGGATCTCGGGAAAAGGTAAGTTAGACGGCTGCGCGATTTAATGCATAAAAACATTTTTAAAATGCAAAATATTAAAATTATACATATAACAATTATGAGTGTAATCGAATAATGAGTTTCGTATTTAATCAGGGGGTGTTGATTTAAAATTTTATCAGTTTGGTCAGATATCGACCTTAATTTTGATTTCGTTTCCAAAGTAAAAACATCTAAATCAATATTTTGTAATTTCAAGGGGACTTCATCATTACTGATTACATTTATAAACTTATCTAGGGTACAACAAGATTGATTTATAATATTAAAATCTGGTTGAATTACAGTAGTGTTGATTTTTACATTATTAAATTTAGGTATTAATTTCGTACTTTTACAGTAGGCTATACAATTGTTTGGTATTGTAAGTATTCCTGTGCCAATGATACTTATTTCTAGGATTTTCTGATTTGGGCATTCTATATATAATTTGGTAATTTGGGATTGTACATATATCCAATTATTATTGTAAAGTGGTGTCCATAAATCTATGTTTCCGTGGACGAAATCGGTTTGACACTGCACTGGTATAGTTTTTATTACACTGATCATTAATTCACTTTCACAACTTGGATTCGCACTAACGGGGAACACAGTCATGACGTCGCAGATGTAGTCGCTCGGGCTTATCGCTATGCATTCCTTCAGTGAGTCAAGGTTACAATATTCCGATCTGTCCTTGGTCATTGCTATGTATCTGTTGCTAGGTATTATATAAGTAAAAGAATTATGTTTTAACTTATCGTGTGGTGTAGGCAATGCTATACTATGGTACAAGTTAAATTCTCTCGGAGAAACTAATGGTATTCTTAATACAAACACAATCTTGTTGCTTAAACTATAACATACTATACTAGAGACATTCAATAATAGGTGAATGTTATTTAATGCTAAATCTACAGGTAATTTATAATCTACAGGTAAGTATCGGTAGTTACTGACAATTTCATCATAAAGCTGCGCGGGAGGTAATATGGCCGGGTGCAGAATGTTTTGATTACTAATCATGATCGCGTTTGTTATGTCTTCCAGTCGAAACGATAACGTTAACAATGAAGCTTCTAGACTATTTAAGATTGAATTAATATTTGCTTTGATAGTTAATTCGTTAGAAATTAAAGTAATATTTTTCAGTTTTAAAGAGAAATTGTCAATAGCTTGGTTAAGGTTGGCCTCGTTCTGTTTTATTGAATGTAATGTTTTATTAAATTGAGATAAAACTGAAGAGGTGACTAAGATATTTTCTTTAATTAACGATGCCAATCTTTTCTCGTTATTGTGTACATTTTGGATGGCGCTATCGTACTTGATACCGTCATCTTCGCTCAAAGTACCGAATACAATTTTGGCGAGAGAGCCAATACCACCTATCCATGCCCCTCTCTTAAACCTTTTTTCCACTAGGTGAGAAATAGCAGAGTATTCAGAAACTAAATCGTGATATCTAACTGTTAATGGTTCTAAAATATTATGACATTCTAAACTATGATTGGTTTCTAATTTAACTTGAGTACAAATAAGTCGAAGTGTACCCAATATAGAGTTAATGTTTTTGATATGCGGTTCGATATATGATATATCGATAGGCGTTATTACGTCTAAATGGCTTACGCGAATTTTGAGTTCACCAATTGGATCAAAGTATATGCCAGAACTGGAGTCGATTTCTTGGACGAACTCCGGGTGACCTTGGGCCAATATGCTGTAATAAAAAGAGACATTCTGTTTGATTTTTTATTTAAACTTCTATTGCTACTAATGTATATAATGTATAACGTGTATATAATGTATAGTGTGTATATAAAGTATAGTGTGTATATAATGTATAGAGTGTATACCTAATCTTACCTGTAAAATAAAATAACCTAGGTTTAAAATAATGTAAATTAAAATCAATATAAAAAAGAGACAATTAAGTAATATTTAGTTGTCTTGGTTTTCGACAGGTTTGACTTCGTCGAAATGATGTCTTACGTGGCGTCTGTTTATCGATAGCGATAAGGTATGGTTGCCATGTACCTTGACAACTTTGTATGGGCCTTTCCATACAGGGGACAATGCCTTACGCATTCTCAAATGATTTTTTAACATGACGTACTGGCCTACTTTGTATTGTACTGGGCGAGTACGGGAATCATAATAAGTTTTCGAAATGTTTTTTGATCTGTTAATGAACTCTATGGCTTTATCTCGGGTGTGTTTTAACCGATGTTGAAGCATTTTAACGTATTCTGGATACGTGGTGTTAGAGCTGTCATCGTATACTGAATCCGGTATACGAGATTTATATCCAAACAATAATTCGAATGGTGAATAATGTGTTGTCGAATGTACGGCTGTGTTATATGCGAGCATTGCTGTATAGACATATCGGGGCCAATTATCTTGTTTGTCGTTGACATACGACTTTAGATATTCTTTTAAGGTTGAATGCGATCTCTCTAAGGCACCTTGCGTTTGAGGATGATAGGGAGCGGACCACAGCTGTTTTGTTTTTAGGAAATCGCAAGTTTTCTTGAATACTTCGGCGGTGAAGTTGGTACCTTGATCGGTAAGTATATATTTTGGAATTCCAAATAATGAAATAAAATGTAGGAGGCATTCACATGACTCCTCAGCAGTATTACTACGAATTGGGTAAGCTATTGAGAATTTGGTAAGGTCATCTTGCATAGTCAGGATGTATCTAAGTTTGGCTGCGCCGGATTCTGGTAGGGGTCCTACTATATCAATGGATAATCTCTCGAATGGGGAAGTTGAAGTGGATGTTATTATCATGGGCGCTCTGTTAGTTTTTCGTAGGGCTTTGTTTGTTTGGCAAGATGTGCACTTTTTAATGTAGTTTTCTATGTCGCTACGCATATTTTTCCAATAGAATCTTTCTTTTATTCGGTTTAACATTCTAATAGCACCTAAATGTCCGGCGATGGGAATGTCGTGGTTTTCTTTAAGGATTTTGGGAATTTCACTCAGCGATGGATATATAATGGAATCATGGTAAATATGGACTCGGATATTTGTTCCATTGAATAAATAACTGAACATATTGTATATTTTTACAAAGGAATGCCTGTCAAACGGATTTTTAAAATCAGATGTACTTATTTCGTTTATTGTGGGGTATGATATCATTATTTGGTCACGTGCATATTGCAGAGATTTAAAAATATCGGAGTAGGAGTAATCATCAAAGTGATGGACTTTCGTGAATAGGAACAGGTAGGTTTTGTTCTCGATTGTAAGAGGTAAGAATGTGTTTAAGGATCTTTCTAATTTCAGGAATTCACTGCGTTCGGGTTCTGGACAATTATCAATAATTTCTTGGACATAGGGCATGGAGTCATCCATGTCTATTGAGGTAGGTACAATGATCAACTTTTGGGTTCCCTTTAAGAGGGTTTCATTATGTTCGGTGATTTGGGTATCGTGTGACTTCGCAGGTGACTTCAGGAATTTACTATAGGTTTCGTCGGACACAGGTAAGGTTTCAGCTGATGGAGAAGGAGCATCGTGGCAAGAGGAACTGGGAGAAGGTAGGTTTCCAGGTGTTGGAGGATCTTCTAGATCGGGTAAGTTTGGAACTGGTAAATTCGATTGCGTTTCAGGAATAGGACTGGAGGGTTGCGCTGGATTTTGTAAGTGATTTTTATTTTCAGGGCTTGGAGCAGAAGGCTGCATCGCAGGTAAGTCGTTGATAGGGCTATATTGGAGGTCGATTTCACTGTCTCCTTCCAAGAGGTCGATACAGGGCATGCTGTCGCCTTCTTCGGAAAGAGCGGGGAGTTGAACACTTAGGTCTTCGAGGGTTAATGGGCTGAAAGGGAGTTCATCGTCTGCAGCAGGAGGATTTACTGGATTTTGTCCTGGCGACGGATTAGGAGAGTCAGGGTTGTTCGTTTGGTCCACAGGATTAGTAGGAATTACAGGATTTACAGGATATCTGGAGAGCGCGTCAGCGGCGGAGTTTAATTTGCCTTTACGGTAAGTTATCTCATAGTCATACTCTTCCAGTTTTAATCTCCATCTTTGGAGTTTGCTGCTAGGATCTTTGTGGTTGAATAGCCATTTTAGGGGTCGATGGTCGGTGATGATGAGGAATTTGCGTCCATAGAGGTAGGGACGAAACGTTTTGCAACCGTATATTATGGATAGCAACTCCTTTTCAGTAGTGCTGTAATTACATTCGCTTTTGTTGAGGGTTCGTGATGCAAAAGCGACTGGTTGGTCTTTGCCAACAGGACCCTGGGATAGGACGGCACCAACAGCGTGGTTGGACGCGTCGCAGGTAAGTATGAATGGCTTTGAAAAATCTGGATATACAAGGAGTGGAGCAGTTGTTAGTTTATGTTTCAGGGTATCGAAAGCTAGTTGCTGTTGATTCTCCCATACGAAGGGTGTATCTTTTTTCAGCAGACTAGTAAGGGCCTTGGCAGTTTTAGAAAAGTCGGGGATAAAACGTCGGTAGTATGATACAAGACCGAGGAACGATTTGATGTCTTTTGGGGTTTCAGGAGTTGGAAATGCAGTTACAGCTTTGACCTTTTCAGGGTTTGGCTTGACACCTTGTTCGGTGATGATGTGGCCTAAGTAACAAACTTCACGTCTTAGGAACTCACATTTGTCGGGTTGTAGTTTTAAGTTGAAATCGCGGATTCTCTGGAAAATGGTTCTTAAATTGCTGATACAGGAATTTAGGTCGTGTCCATATGAGACGACATCGTCCAAGTAGACAAAGCATCGGATGCCCTGGAGGCCTGACAAGGCAGAGTTCATGAGTCTCTGGAACGTTGAAGGAGCATTTTTGAGCCCAAACGGCATGCGAGTGAATTGGAAATGCCCTTCAGGGACTGTGAAGGCTGTTTTGGGTTTATCAGCTTCATTCAGCTGGATTTGATGGAACCCAGATGCCAGGTCCAAGGTAGAGAAGTAGGAACTACTACCGAGTTGATCCAATATCTCGGTAATCTGAGGGATAGGGTAAGTGTCTCCGATAGTGATGTCATTCAACTTTCGGTAGTCAATTACCACGCGCCATTTTTGCGTGTTGGAAGCGTCTAGCTTCTTGGGAACGACCCAAATGGGTGACGACCATGGGGAATCAGAGGGTTCTATGATGTTTTGTTCCAACATTTTGTCAATTTGTTTACGTACTTCGGCTTTGTGGATTTCGGGAAATCGATAGGATTTGACGTGTATAGGAATATCTGTAGTGGTTTTGATTTCGTGTTTCAGGGCGTTGGTGTAAGTTAGATTTTCTCCGGGAAGGTGGAAAATGTCGGAAAACTCGGAGCATAGTTGAAAGAGTGACTCTCTTTCTTCATGGTTGAGATGAGAAACACGTAGTTGTTTGAGGACTTCTTCGGTACGTTTATGACAATCTGTCGCAACATTTACGTGGTTTATTAAGGCAGGAGGTTGGTTTGTGAATTCGGATTCGCAATCTAAAGGACTGAGTTTGAGATTCAAATCGGATTTTAAGGTAATAGGGTTTTCTGACGTATTTATCACGGATAGATTTATTCTGTTATTATTTTTGACAACTACTAGGCAATTTGCAACTAATAGGTTATTGGAAACTTTTTGGTCGAGGATTAATCCTTGTTTTATTTCAGGATTCGATACTGAACATTCAATGATGGTTTCGGTTCTGGGAGGTATAATGTAGGCAGGATCATGGAAATGTAATTTAATGGACGTTTTATTGAGGTGTAGAAGGTTTTTGTTATAATTGATGCTGCAACTATGAGCATTGAGCATGTCAGAACCGATTATTCCATCGTAGGGTAAATGTATTGCGTCTATGACATGGAATGAATGTGATACATTTAATTTGGGAAATTGTAATTTCAATTGGAAGTGACCTCTGGTGTGGATTGTTTCTTCAGCAGGGTCAATTCCTTTCAATTGGATGGTTTCTTTGGTGAGTTTAGGATGTTTTTGGATACATGAATGTTTCAGCAGACTTACTGAGGATCCTGAGTCGACTAGTAATGATAATGGGATGTCGGATACAGAGGACTTTACTAGGACATGGGGTAGTAATGTCTTTGCAGGATTGTTGATGATTTCGAATATATTCGATTTAGCAGGATTTGGCAGGTCAACCTTGATAGGCTGCTGCACGGATACAGAGGATTTAGCACGTTTTGGCAGGTCAACCTTGATAGGCTGCTGCACGGATACAGAGGATTTAGCACGTTTTGGCAGGTCAACCTTGATAGGCTGCTGCACGGATACAGAGGATTTAGCACGTTTTGGCAGGTCAACCTTGATAGGCTGCTGCACGGATACAGAGGATTTAGCACGTTTTGGCAGGTCAACCTTGATAGGCTGCTGCACGGATACAGAGGATTTAGCACGTTTTGGCAGGTCAACCTTGATAGGCTGCTGCACGGATACAGAGGATTTAGCACGTTTTGGCAGGTCAACCTTGATAGGCTGCTGCACGGATACAGAGGATTTAGCACGTTTTGGCAGGTCAACCTTGATAGGCTGCTGCACGGATACAGAGGATTTAGCACGTTTTGGCAGGTCAACCTTGATAGGCTGCTGCACGGATACAGAGGATTTAGCACGTTTTGGCAGGTCAACCTTGATAGGCTGCTGCACGGATACAGAGGATTTAGCACGTTTTGGCAGGTCAACCTTGATAGGCTGCTGCACGGATACAGAGGATTTAGCACGTTTTGGCAGGTCAACCTTGATAGGCTGCTGCACGGATACAGAGGATTTAGCACGTTTTGGCAGGTCAACCTTGATAGGCTGCTGCACGGATACAGAGGATTTAGCACGTTTTGGCAGGTCAACCTTGATAGGCTGCTGCACGGATACAGAGGATTTAGCACGTTTTGGCAGGTCAACCTTGATAGGCTGCTGCACGGATACAGAGGATTTAGCACGTTTTGGCAGGTCAACCTTGATAGGCTGCTGCACGGATACAGAGGATTTAGCACGTTTTGGCAGGTCAACCTTGATAGGCTGCTGCACGGATACAGAGGATTTAGCAGGTTTTGGCAGGTCAACCTTGATAGGTTGCTGCACGGATACAGAGGATTTAGTACATTTTTGGGTGTCGATTTCACAATTGTGAGGTCCCGCACGACACCGGGACGAGACGGTTACTCGTTTTTTGAGTGATTGTCGACGGTATCATACCCGTCGGTTGATTCGGACGGATATTCGTCATCGATGGGTTCCGATGATTCATCGGACACGAAGTGAACTCGATGGGATGGTCCGGGCTGGTTTCGATCAAAGTTACGGAAACGGTTATTATTAAATTCCCTTTTTCGACATTGCTCCAGGGTGTGTCCTGCGTTTTTACAATATCTGCAGAACGGACGGGAAGAATTGTTGTTGGAATTGGAATAATTGTTGGAATTGGAATTGTTGTTGGAATTGGAATTGTTGTTGGAATTGGAATTGTTGTTGGAATTAGAATTGTTGTTAGGCCGGCTAGGGCCGAAATTTGATCTTTGATTCGATTGGTTAGAAAAGCTTTGGTTGCGGTTACGGTTAAATTGATTTGGATTTGGCCTGGATAGCGCCTGTTGGATTCTTTCTTCGGATATAGCAATGTTGATCGCTTCGTTTAGGGATCGAGGCGATTTGCACCTAACGAATGTGGACAACCGGGGCAATAGGCCCATTTGAAAATGGTGGAGGGCAAGTTCCTCCATTGCCGCGGTTCTCCCGATCATCTCTCGGCTTTTGTGTCCGTGTGAGATCGAAATTTCTGTTAATAATTGGGACAAACAGGTCTCAATTTTTAGAGCATACTGGCTAACAGGTTCAGTCGGGTTTTGTTTGCAATCTTGCAGGTCAGTGAGGAGGTGCGCGTAGTGTTTCCTCTCACTGAACTGGGTTTTGAGGAAATCTTTTAATTGATGCCAGTTGGCGAACTCTTTGATAGAGCAAGCCGTTTCGGCCTTGCCCTGCAGCTGGCATAGAATATATTTAAAAAGTATGTCCCTTTGGGATTCTGATGCTAGTTCGTATGCGTTATTGCAATTTACAAGGAATGAATTTAGTTGCTCGCGGCAACCGTCGTAGGGTTTAATGAATTTGAGTAAGGTGGATAATTCGATTTCTGATTTGACTACTACTGCTGTTTTTCTCTTACTCTGGGATCTAGTAGAAGGTCCAGGAGGGGGTAAATGCTGGTCCTGGCCTTCGTCATCTATGTCTGTTAGAACCACTTCGGGTCTCTCGAATTTTGGACTATTGGATCTCTCTGCCATTTTGGTACAATATTATGAATTAATTCAACAACAAAAATAGAACAACAATTGGATTTAGAATAACACACAAAAAGATTAAAAATTACGATAGCTAAAATCGGACGAGCAATGACCAAGTTACTCACTGGAATGCGGATAGCGCGATAAGGACGATCATTCTCGGAACTGGAAGCTGGAAGTCGCGCTGCTCTCGGCGAAATGTATGCTTGTTGATAAGCCTCGCTCCGTTGCGTCACTGGATGCTCGCTTGCCGGTCGCAGCACGAAATTGTGCGCAACAGTGGGCAAACGGCTGTTCTCGGTGGAGACCGGCTGTGGATGATTCACGCAGCAGTGGGCCTCTCAGGAACTCAGGAACGTTGGAAGACTTGGGCCGGGCCGGAACTCGGTGTGGTATTGGATTATTGGAGGTCCACACAGTGGAGTCGGCGCTTACACACAACACGGCACACACACACGCGTCGAGACTGGATTTATAGACTTAACTTGGTTTTGAAATTGAACTGTAGACGTTGACCGGGGACTCTTTTTGAATCCCTTTGCGCTGCCACCAAATGTTATGAGCCTCAGAGGATTTGGGTTTTTAAAAAAGAACACGAGATTAATGGGATAAGACAGCCGTCTAGTTCGGATGGTGGAATGAGACTGACTTGGAAATGCGAGGTATCGCAGGCTATGGATGGAAAAGGATGAGTCGGCAAAAGGCGGAATGTCAAGTAAGCAATATAGGGTGCGAGGGCTATCTGTAACAGTACGTGAAACACGAGCTCAACGTAACTGAGAAAGGAAACAAATCGAAATATCGTATTATTCTTTTTATTGGATTACATGAACAGAAACTCAAAACTTGTTTCAAACGTAAACATAACTCTGTGATGGTCGAAATGTATTTGAGAATTTAGTAGAGGTAGAGTCATACTTGAGAATATCGATTCGAGCCTTACTGTGTTTAATTAATCGTTTCTCATCTGTCTCTATTCAACGATAAGGTCATTTAAAAGTAATATTAAACAATAGCATCAATACTTACTCGTAACATACTTTTAGCCTCTTTATCCTGGATACCAGTCAGACCCTTAACATCTTTGCACATCATTCGTATACTAACTGCGAACAATAAATCCCTTAGTGCAAACTATGTAAGTGCTTTAGAAGGGCGTGTAATGTATTTTCCGTCATTACCAGCGCACACGGCGGCAACAATGATCACGAGCGAGATGCCCACTATGCCCAGTCTCCCGCTGCTATGCCCATATTTGTCTGCCCCCGCGCACAAACGCATTGCCATCCGAACTCGCTTGTTACCCCGGTCACGTATCGCGATTTCTTGCCCGAGAAATACATTGGGATTCTAAAATTCCAGCGTCAAAGTAGCGTGCGAGATACATCAAACACGTTTGCAATTTAGTCAGAGTTCTCGCGGAAAACAACAAATTCTCCGCCAACCTTGAATTTAAATAAGACGAAGGCGTAATCAAATTGACCTTCATGAAAACTATACAAAAACAAATACAACATCAGATTATTGCAATGGACTCGTTTCTATTTACAAAAAGATACAGTGTAGAGCGATAAGCGTAACGACAAAGATAAGTAGATAAAGAGGTTATTGCGGCGCCAATACCAATGTCAGCAATAATCGTGATATTACAGCGAAATATTTTAATGAGCACTCGATTAACAGTCGTCGTAATATGCGAAGGCTTAACGAATAATTAAGTATTCCAGTTGTTACTCAGTTGGCGCCTTATAAAGCCGATACGACCAATGTCATGGCGCCAATACTTATACAAAACAATTATGAAGACGTTTTAACTAGCAAATCGGATTTAGAAACGTGTCCTAGTAGAAGTAGGTACACTGGGTAGTTGAAATCCAGAATTTAGACCTGACCTGTGTTTAAAATTTAGATTCCAAAAACATACCGAAACATAATGGAAATAACTTTTCAAATACATCCAATGTCACAAGAATATTAAGTATTTGGAAATTATAATAAGCCAGACGAAAGCCGGCTGTGTAAACATAGATGAAGATGTTGCAGCAATGCTTTATGTGTTTAAAACAATATTACGTTAGACATTGTTTCGTAAGCTACTATTAATAGGACAGATTAAAACGTTTTATCGACAGTAATGTGGGACAAGATGGTTTATTTCTGGCAGCGTCGTTTCCTGTGCCACTGTCTCAGGGGACGGTTCTAATGTGTTGACACAATCATTATATTTAGTATTCACGTTAAGGTGAGTTACTGTTATTTCTGACAGTAATTATGTAATACTTTGAGGTGAGATGAAAAGAATATGTGGCGTATCAGATATGTTTATTGGTAGAGCAGCAGCCGTATCCCTTGAGGAGGTAATAAATAAGGAATCCGTTACGCAAGAGAGAAGTGCGAGACCGTTAACTAATTTGTAGCATCTCTGGCATCTGGTATTCATATATCAGAAACCAAGCTAGCAGTTATTGTAAAGGTATATCAGTCTTAAGATCAACGTCGTCCATCGACGAGAAATAATTTTAATGATTTACTCAAGACATTAATCTCTTTATTATATCGGAGTGCAGTTCGGAGATCCAGGCCGATGGCTTCTGCTAAATTATAAATTACGAATGTAGGTCATCTCTCGGGCTTTATTGCCAGCTTCGCCTGACTGGTTGCAAAATAAACGTCGCCAATCTATATTTCAAACAGCACGATAACATCAAACTTATTGCAACAATGTAACTCTAAAATATATTACAACTTGTGAAGTCAATTATGGACGGTTCAGTTAATTCCCCTGACAATCTGGTTGCAAGTTAACCCTTGTTGAGAGTTTAATTGAATTAACTCCAAACCGCAAAGCAACAAGCACATACTGCGATAGTTGGTCAACTCATTTTCTAAAGCTGATGTAGGATTGTGGCTTTGCAGGAAGTTCGCCCATCCATTAGAACTAGGCCATCACGGTAATGGACAATGCATTTATAACAGAGTGCACTTTGCTGTTCAAACACGATTAAACAAAACGGGGGACATCAAATAATAGTTTATAAGGCGCGTTTACACTCTGGGCAGTATAACGGGCAGTAAAACGAACACGTAAAGCAATTAAAAACGAACAAAGATAACGGTTTCTTTGCAAATAGATAATAATATGAACAGAGAATCGTAAAATCTCCGAGGAAGACACTAAAGTTACGACGACTATTATGTGGAACACATTTTTGTTAAAGCTGACGATCAATATTCACCGCTACATTCGTTTGTGTGACTTAACTCGTTTGCTCGAAAATTCGCAGTCATCGGTTAAAAATAGTTAATATAACAGAGAACGTTTGCTTCGCGTTATCGCAGTTGCATGTTATGAACTGCGTCTTCACAAATATTGGAAATTCCAATGCGAATGATACGGTACCGATCGTACTTTAAAGAGAGGTAGCGGCATAAAAGACGCACCCTGCGGCACTCCTTTTGATCAAGCTCGGGAGCACTGTACTCATATAGAGATCCGCTTTTGGATTACTACCCTAACCATATTCAACTCACGGCTAATACGATTTTACACCTTATAAGGTCGTTCGGGTATTAAACCCAAGGAAAAAGGAGTTTGATTTGTGATGAACTCTGTCGAAAGCTTTCTATTAATCTTCTTGTAGCATCCGTTGTTTGTTTACTACCTACTACTACTGGTTAATGGATGAAGCGCACACATTTGCTTGCTCAGTGTACGTAAATAGCACCGGTCTTCGTCGTGAACACGTGTTACGTCTACAGGTGTCATAATTTACAAATCTCACTGACTATAGCGTTGTGAATCTTTTTGAGGATGCGTCCGGGTTTTATCAGTAACCATAATAATTAATTTAAAGTACTTTTTCTCACTATGTTTCATCATTTGCAAAATAATTTATACTGTTAAAGTTTCGGCAAGACATAGACAGCAATAATATTCTGTCTGCTCAGAAATGATTATCAGCGTCATTAATTTCGGCTATTCAATGAACGTCTCGTAGTAAACAATTGACGACAGCATACAATCCGCACAGCTGTCCTTATATGATTAGAAGGTATAGTATAGGTGACATAATCACAGTTGCGTAGGCGCACGCCCCGGTCGCCGCCTACTGCTTCCGTCGTGGAGGCGGCCCAGCACCTGATAGTTGTGAACGTGAGGCAATATTAGGACAAAGATTGGCCAGGTAACTTGCAGATCAACAAATTCTGGGTAGGCTGAAAATTAAAATTCATCATTTCGAAACGAGAGATGATGTTCTTTGTTATAATGTAATGTAATCAAGAATTATTGATAAGTACGATAAACTCTTCGACCTTTAAGAAGAAAGTTAAGATTAAATTACAATAGTAAGTCGTTCTGAGCCTGAGGCAAGCCAATACATCACAAAACTCCTGGGAGCCGCAATTTAAAGTGTCAGTGAGTCCTTAATTTGCATACACGTCTTGCTACCGTACGTGACAAGTAGGAGTACTAAATTGGTACGTTTGTCTATACTTATACTACTGATTGTACCATAGCGACTGGTTTTGCGTCAATCATCACCATGGTTAATCAATGCTGCTACCATAAATACAACTATTATTATTTCATACGTAAGTCTTACTCATTATTTATGTTAGATTAGCTAGACCTTAGTCAGCTAGCAACGTGATCCATCGAGAAGCTACTGGTAACGATGTATTGGTGCCGTATAAGGGAAAATATGCTTGTTTTCCTTATTCTCTTGTGGCGTCACATAACGTCGGCAACAACAAACTACAATTTAGAAATAATTGTAATATTTTGTAAAGATCTCCAATAAACTTTGAAGCCGAAACAGTTTGAATTCCAATACCGACAGATTTATTCTCTATCTATAGAAGAAATTGGTTTAGAAGCAGGAAATAAGGCTAACGTTAACATTTTAAGTAAAATATTCTGCTTTACGATAACTTCTGTTGAGAACAATCAAGAATTATTTTTGAAGGCGTCCTTAAAAGTTCCCTATTAGGTGTTGTGTGTGAGTAAGGAAAATGTCGCCGTGTGACCTCAATAATATTATAATTCTTTAATATAAATGGCAATGGCCATTTACAGTGGCAGAACAATAAAGTTGTACAAAATTAACGGGATCTACGGGGCCACACACTATGTGGAAGATAATCACGATACACGAAAAGCATTAAACGACAAATCGAGAACTGACAGCAATAAAACGTACTTACAATTGAACGGTAATCATGGTATAAATAAATTTAAGTTATCGACGTACCACATCATGTCCGCCATCACATGAGAAGAGATCGTATCACAAAGAGTTTGGATTCATATTTGTAAACTCGCACGAATGCGATACAATCGCACTACTTATCTGAGATGTCGGTAATAAATTTCGAGTTTTATAGCGTTGGCTTCAAGACCGAATGTCCAATGTCGGTTTTAAACTTTTCAACGGAGGTTGAGCTCAATGATACGGTATGATACTGGTTTGCAGAACCGCTACAACTTTATACAGAAACTTACAGATCAGAATTGAGTTTCGTTTAATCGGCTCGTGGTTGGCCTATTTTGTTCAGAGTTGTGTGGACCAGCTCAACCCACGTACTAAACCAATTGCGTACAAGAACAAAATTAAATAAAGTATTGCCTTATCTGGAGTCATTTGGATAATGTCAACAGTTTGACAAATGATGCAGAAGATTGTAAACAAGCTAGAGAAAGAATAGAAAGTACGAAACAGGATTAGATAGTTTACGCAACATTACCCAAATGGTGAGAATAAAAGAACAAAGGTGAGCTCATGAATGTAATAGTATGTCGAAGCGACAAAACAAATTATTTCAGCCACACATCACTAATAACAGGAAACTGGTCTAAAATAACAGGATGAATGTCATTATTGAAGCTTTGCGTGCTCAAGTTACTTTTGAAGGGTGTAACGAAAATGGTACTACCCTCAAATTGAGGTAGGTATCACGTAACTGATTTTGATGCCAAGTTGTCATGTTGAGCATCTGAACCTTCATGATTACTAGACATGTCATTTAAAGCGTCGTTAATCATCGTAAGAACTTCCTACCCATTAAGGTTAATAACGTCTTCTGTAAAATTAATGTGACATTGGTCTTTTAAAGCCATAAAGGTGACAATAAGCTTAATGTATGAAATTATGTAGTAAAAACTTGATTCTGCGAAGACTCCTTTTCTTGCACAACATGAGACGCGACCTTAAACGAGCATATTGACAACGGGTAAAATGTAATGAAAAACACCAACATCACTAACAAAAAACGGTTTCCGACACATCTAGTAAATTGATTTCAAACGATGCGACGCATGAAATTAATACGACTGACCCTAATGAGCATGCTGTAGTACTAAATCTAACATGAATTAAAGCAAAACCAACCACTTCAATGTTGCTAATGAATAGATTGTAGTAAAAAAAAAAAATGTTCATTGTCAAGGAATTCGTTCGTTTGTGTTAGCAGAAACTACACAAGTTTGATAAGATCAGCTTTGTGATCATTTTATCGTATTATGGAACTTTTAACTCTCTTAATATAGAGTTTTAATATCAAATTGTTCCACTTTATTCATTTCTCGCTGCAGTAGAGTACACACCTTTTAATTCAATTAGCTAACATCATGCCTCCAAGTCATCGACCCGTACACGATCTGGCTTATTGCCATCATCAGATTGATATCCATCATTGAGTTTAGTTACTTAATTGAAAATTGTGAATTTGTATCGAGATTTTCGGTGCAGTGCTGTTGTCCCCCCTGCTTGGCCCCCCTGGGGGAGCCAACAGGATTTCGAAATCCTGTTGTCCCCCCTGGCTAGGGGAGACAACAGGACTGGATTTTCAATCAATGATTTGAGGACTGTTGTCCCCCCTGGCAAACATTGAGTATTTAGAAACCATATATTTTTATAACTTTTAAGATGAACTGAAAATGGAGTACCTGACTGAATGTCATACTTATTGCCAAACTGAATACCTAAACGAATGTCAAATAATAATTAATATTTTGTTAACGAAAAAAATATAAGTTGTTGGCACCGGCAGTACCGGTATCCGAAAATCTTTATGAATTATCCCTACTAAATAATATTAAGTATGCGAAAAACTTTATCTATCTGTCTGATACGAATTCACGCCTAAACCATTGAACCGATTTTGATATTTGGTAAAGAGATAGTTTTGAGTCCCGGGAAAGGACGTGGGATAGTTTTTATGCCAGTTTTTGAAACAGGAAGGCGCTCTTATATTTTTTTCTGTGACAGACATAATTTTACTCAGACAAAGCCGTGGGCAAAAGCTAAGTTAAAGGTATGCTATTCTCATGTATAAAAAATATTATCTTATGTAAAGTTTACTAAAAATCCGTTTAGTAGTTTTTAAATACGTGAAAGAGTATCAAACATCCATACTCACAAACTTTGACATGTATAATATTAGTAGGTAGGACGCTAAAACTGCATAATTTTAAATTAATCATAATATTCAACACTTGCTCAGTGATTCAACTAGCGGCCGCCCGCGACTTCGTATGCGTGGAATACGTTTTACCCCCTTATGTGTGGAATTTCGTAAAATTCTATTATATCCTTCATATTATTTCATATCCTTAAATAAATAGTTAAATAAAATCCGTTCTTGGTAGATCTCTATAACACTCTATAAGGATATATCGACGGTCCCTACGTATATTAACGTATCTGAAAACGGCCAATTTTACAGGAGAGCGGTTTGAAGGTTTAAACATGTGTAGCTCGCGTTCTATTTATCGTACTTTGATGAAATTTGGTATAATAGTTTTATATGAGGTATATTTTATAAAACATGAAGAATTATCAAAAAATAATCACAATTAGTGTATTATTTGTCATTTACTCACTTATACAACGGAAAGTTTCTAATTGCAAATGACGTAAGCGGTACTTGCTGATTTTTACGTTGGAGTAATATGTTTGTTTAAATTATTAACTGCCACATAAGTAATTGTACACGGGAACAAAGTTCAGCTACTACTAAACGTAACTCTCACTCTAGGCCCATAGTCCTGCTCGACGAGACATAACAGCATCCCGCCTCGTTTCCCAGATAGTTGCATATTGGAGGCACTTCAATACCTTAAGATTCCTCCTTATCTAAGGGGTCTTTTGACTGAAGAGTACCTGTAGAACCGCTTAATTCTCTTTGTCAATAGTGCCGGCTAGGTTTGACAGCATGGCATCGAGTCCGAAGATCCACATGGGTCTTTTTTGAGTTCGATCTTGTGGAACATTNAGTCTAATAAATGACCCTAGATACTTCAGTCGTGTTGTATATCATATTTTATATTGTTTTGTCTTCACTTTCATCTCCACCAGATATTGCTAAAATACAATTTCTCAGCGTAAAACACCGTTACTGGCACTTGCTTATAGACATAAAACAAACTTTTCCAAAGTAAAACATTTATAGTGGCAGTTACGGCTAGAAGATACTTTAATTTTCCGACGTAAAAATAGGTAAGTGCCACCTACTTATAATAGTAACTTTAATTTTCCCTAGTGAAACAACGCAACTACCAGATTCCTACAGTTAATTGATTAATTTGCCGTTGGTATAATGTTGAGTGAAATAAATTAGGTTAGAAACCATAATAATACCTATTTCCTTCATAAATTACGTATCAATTCACTCGATCTGCGCAAATGAAAGTGGCAGTTGCGGGGCTGGGCGCGCGGGGTTAAGCGTGAGGTCCAACGTAAAATTTCGTAACTCCCACTAATGCAATTTTACTGCGGAAATCGTTCTAATTTTGTAGTTGCGGGATTTGTTTTTTGACGTTTTAAGGTTCAATTTGAATAAAAACTGTATGTTTTTTGAACTGAGCCGTAACTGTTGGGTCCTCTGAAGGTTTTGCAAACAAAAACGGCAAATCACGGAACTGGTAGATACTGAAATGTACGTAGGGACCGTCGATATAACACCTACCTGCCAAATTTTAAGTAGGTATCGGCACCAACACCTTATTTTTTTCGTTATCAAAATGGTAATTATTATTTAACAAACGGTTAGGTATTCAGTTTGGCAATTTGGCTTTCAGTCAAGTACTTCAGTATTTAAAAAAATATTTTATACAAATAATATATGGCTTTTAAATCATGTTTGCCAGGGGGGACAACAGTCCTCAAATCATTGATTAAAAATCTAGTCCTGTTGTCTCCCCTAGCCAGGGGGGACAACAGGATTTCGAAATCCTGTTGGCTCCCCCAGGGGGGACAACAGGACTGCACCAGATTTTCATCTATCAACGATCCATCACGCCTGTTCATTAACACTATCATGATAGTTTCCTCACCTTGCTGTCAAATTTAACGAGATTCACGTCTCTTTAGTTATATTTTTATTCTCTCAATAATATTAGCTAAGTCTTTATTCACAAATCATTTACTAATTTAGATGAAGATTATTCTCTCGGTTTAAAAATAAACAATAGGAATTTCAATGTACCGTTATTTATGAAGCAATTTATTTGAAAACAAACATCTTACATGATAAAGCAATAAAATAAGCTATCAGTTTCATTGCTTTCAATAGGCACAAATAACTGTGGTTTTGAACGTTAGATGGCTTTAAAGAGGTGTCTATGATATCGGAAATATTTGGTTAACAAATTAGTTTGATAACTTCAACGAACACGACGATTAACTGAATGCTGTGAAGTTATCTTAACGACGTTAACGTTTAGAGCGTTGGTTCTTTCAACTATTATTTCTATATTTATACCTTTGGTTTTTTTATTATTTGAAGATTCAATTTTCACTGCTCACCTTTACCTGGAAACAAGAGAACGCATATTTAGCTTTTGCGCGGGTTTAGTATTAGTCTTTATTGTTAATTTTAGTTTTGTTATCGTTATACAAACTGACTTTAAATTACTGTTTAGAGATCTTGCTGAGTAGTTAGAAGTTAATTTCTATTTTATTTTTTAGTTGGTATAAGTTGGCGATTTAACAGTTCAGTCATCCGTTACGAGATAATATCCGTTCAAATATGGTATCGAATTACCATATAGATATTGCTTTCCCTATCGCCCACTGTTTAACATCACGTAGGCGAATAGTGAAAGTGAACCGGCAAAAGTAATTGAATAAACGAAATTAATGCCATTAGTGAAGCATTGTGTTGTCTGGCATAAGCACCTTTAACGAGGCTTATTCAATAATGCTGTTCAATGATGATTACAACACCAGTAAATTGTAATATGAATAAAATACTTTTTGTATAAGATTACCTGTTCTGATTCCACAAAAAATCTAACGAAACGAAAAGTTGGATTTAGATTTTTTATGTCGAGGACCTGATGATGATGACATGATGAAGGATTATTATGCCTATATCTACTACGACGACGAATTACCTATGAAGATATTACAATATAAACTACATTCTTGCATACTAATTACCACCTATCAATAACTCAAGCAACAGCACCTAGATCCAACCGATATAAATATAACAAACTGCATACTAAAACAGGAAATTAATGACAACGACCGAGCAGGACAGCGATAAAGACTGTTTTAAACTTATTGCATCCAGTAGGAAAATCTACGAGGCTGATACCCTATCATTATTGCGCTAGATTCCCAGTAGCAGCTACTGCCAGTGGCAACCGGGTTCCTAGTAATAAATTTCTCTATTAGCGCGTCTGGGCTGGTCTGATTACGGCACGAATTCGATACCGGCCATGAAGCTCTGTAATTAGCAGCCTTAGAGCAATTACTGAGGTGCGAGGCTCTGCCTTTACAATTAGCCAGCACAATCTAAATAACAGCACATCCATCAGAGAACCGGCACCCACCAATTACCTCACATGATTCTTAAAAGCATTCCAGCCGATGTAAATTACAATTCGTTTCAGGCTTAGCAACAGTCCGCGAGGGTGATGCGCTCCCCACTTTTATTAAGAACTTTAATGTGTTTGCTCATTACAGCGCTGGTGCAACGTAACTTGTGGTAACAGGAAATCTCGGTTATGCAAATGTTTGGCAGGTGATAAAACGCTTAGCTGAGTGTGAAGGTAGAAAGTAGAACAACTCGCAACTTTTCAGTGCCTAATTTATCTTATCTCTTTTATATCATATCATCATATGCGTCAATAGAATGTTCTCACGAGTAAATCAATTCTTCCTATGGCACGGGTCAGAGTTGCACCATCCTTTAACATTTCCTTCACGGCTGAGCTCTTAGATTCTATTGGATGGATGTGCTCCTAAAATTAGCGGGGGCTTCCCGCACCGTTATCATCCACTTAGCACGTTCGAGAATCGCCATATTGGCCAATCAAGTCGTTAACCTCTTAGTCCAGTCAATAAAGCATTATAGATGGAAATCCATGGAACACAATTTCTGACTTCGGGACTTTATTTAGACTAGTTAGGAGGTGAACATAGCAAAAGTCCCCGCCTTTAGCCCTTGAGCCGGCGGGGAGAGGGGGGTTTAAAGGTACCACTTTTCGGTTTTTCGCTTAATCCTCGGAAACTATGCATCCTAGTGACATGACTACTATGAACCGAAAAAAGCTTATTCAATTTGCTACAGGTGAGATACTCAAGTTTTTCTATATCTTGTATAGTTTTCGCGGCATCTGCTCTAGAAGGTCTGTAATATTGGAAATTTTATTTTTGTCTTACATGTTCCCATCAGGAGAAAATCGACTTAATCAACATTGAGCAAACATTCTAGACATGCGGGAGCATGTTAAGCCTAGTTCCAGGGAGGGGACTGCACCGTGCGTATATTTAGACGAACCATTTGCAGCCACTTTGGACTCCTCATCACTCAAAAACTACTGTGCGTTAACACTTCAAATTTGGCTCATATGTTGAGACTTACGAGATAAACATCAGCTTCAAATTTCACAAATATACATCAAACGGTTCTTTAGGTATTGACGTCCAAAAATCTACATGTCTGACCTATAGACCAAATTCTAACCACTTCCAGATGACTTTGAAGGTTCAAATTTGGCATACAGATAGGTAGATGTGTAAATACAAAGGAAGAAACAAAAAACCAGTAAATTTTAACATTTCACAGGTAATAGATAGATTTTAGTGTTCTAAATGTCGATTTTTGAACGTCAATACCTAAATATCCGTTTGAGGTATATTTATGAAATTTGATGTTGATGTTTATCTCGTAAGTCTCAATACATGAGCCAAATTTGAAGTGTTAACGCACAGTAGTTTTTGAGTGATGAGGAGTCAAAAGTGGCTGCAAATGGTTCGTCTAAATATACGCACGGTGCAGTCCCCTCCCTGGAACTAGGAAGTCGATTTTCACCTGATGGAAACATGTAAGACAAAATTAAAATTTCCAATATTACAGAACTTCTAGAGCAGATGCCGCGAAAACTATACAAGATATAGAAAAACTTGAGTATCTCACTTGTAGCAAATTGAATAAGCTTTTTTTGGTTCATAGTAGTCATGTCACTAGGACGCATAGTTTCCGAGGATTAAGCAAAAAACCGAAAAGTGGTACCTTTAAACCCCCCTCTTCCCGCCGGCTCAAGGGCTAAGGGCGGGGACTTTTGCTATGTTCACCTCCTAACTAGTCTATACAAAGTCCCGAGGTAAGAAATTGTGTTCCACGGATTTCTCTCTACACCGTCGTTAAGGCATTCATTGACTGGACTATCTGTGGGCTGTGGAGTATATGCTAGCCGCAGCGCAGATCTTGGAGCTGTAGGTATAAAAACTGGCCAATAGCATTTGGAAGTCAAGCTCTTTTGTTTTTGTTCTTAAAAGTTTGGTTCTTTGTTTGTAGAAAGGTTTGTCGTTCTCAGATTACTAGCACAGTCACTAGTTCTATTAGAATTAACGAATGCAGTTTGACGTCACGTTGCCATATGAAAGCAGACACGACCGCCAGCTGTTCGTACATCTGCTATTGTGATGCTCATAGCTTACGCAAATTAATTATGCGTGCAATGCAAGCGGTACGCAGTGTGTGTGTGTGTGCCAGCAAGCTTTTTACTAATGCATCAAATGTTGCGTTAACCTCACGAGGCCCTAGCTGGTAATTTACGACGATTGGCCGAGATTGCCAGACGGCAATTTGCAAATAGATACGTGTAGTGATTTTAATGCCATTAAGCTGGTGAAAACGGTACATATACAGCTAAGTGTGACACCGCTTAAATGGATAGCTGTGATTAAAACATTACATACTTGTTCTGTCTCTATTAATTTAACTTGAAATTCAAAGGCGGTTGCCCCAGTGCAGTTGGTATTTACATTTTCTACGGTGCACGAGATTCATGAGGTCTTGCTGAGAATTATGCAAGGAGTAGTTTCCTTTAGAAATCTGTGGGATCTGAGGTCTCACGCCCCTGCAATTGTCCATTAACCACGACGCAGTCTAATATTAGCAGTATTATTAGTAGAGTCACGAATAAGTTCACACGGCGTGCTTGAGCCCTTTTTGAAGTTGCTGTCATAATCATTAGCTAGATCATTTTAGCTGAGACTTTTCCTCAGATTGTCGTCACAATCATCAATGAAACTTTAAATACTATCAATGACAAGATTGATGACAACAATAATCAGTTGCACAATCAATGTTGACACAATCACTCAGTGATTGGTAAAGGAACAGTTACATAACAAATGGTTTATAAATTGATTGGAACTACCATTGAGTGTAAGGGCAATCACGAAGGGAATTTGAAGCTAAGGACGTTGTGCATGCAATACGATAAGAATTCATGGACACGTACCTACTATGTTCCATTCAAATTGATTTATTTTATTAGTTTTTTTTTTACATTAATGAGTGTGGTTGATTAGTTTACTTGTTATTTGCGAACTAAACACATATCACCAAGAATAGATTTCAAATTGTAATCATAAACTTTCAAGCTCATATTTAATGTAGATAAAATAGAACAGATATTGCTAACATAAATAACAAAACCGCAGAAGAATGTGGTACAGGATTTATAACTATAAACACCACGATCAGTGTTGAGATCAAAAGAGGAAAATCGTTTAGAGGTGTATTACGCACATCACACGTAGTCATTGAAAGAACGAGGTTCACGAAGGACCATGACCCAAATTACGTTTTATTTGTGAGCCCGGATCAGTCTGCGCGATGCAAACAAATAGACGTACGTTTGGTACCAGCTGTGACATAAAATCTGCGGAGAACAGCTTATGGAGCCACTTGAAGTGAATTACCAAAGCTAATTAAATAAATACAATGATAAACAACTGTGAGACAAAAAATGGAACCCAAAAACTTGCACAAAAAGAAAATACACTAATATTTAAACTTCTGATGTAGTGAATTGACAGGTTTAGACTGCCGAAACTATACAAAAAATGTAGCTAAATGGTTCATTAATGTCAATGTCAACATCAATTAAAAATGGCACCCAGTTTTTTGACTAGCTTTATAAATAGTCAGATAGCGTCACCAGTTACATCATGCGCTTGGGCGCGTCGTGTTTCTGTTTATTTTGCCATAACAGTGGGACAAAAGGACCCTGAATACTTGAAGGCGACGTAAAGAGCAATAAATGAGGTAATCCTCAAGCCATTTTAATCTTGGGTTAGTTTTGAATATCATGTTTTAGTGAGGATATTGATCGCATGCTACGCAGATATACGATAGTGCAACGACCTCTTTTTATCATAGCAACAATTTCATACAAAATTAGGGTGAACCGTAGAGTTATTGGCTCGCCTTTCTAGCCCACAAATGATTGATGATCTATTACCGGTTCCGCCGAAAGCCTGTGTTAATATCGGCGCTTTTAGCTATCGAACCTGTTCTCGATTCAGGAACAGTTAATATCGATCAATCAAAAATTGGCATTGGTATTATGAAAGTAAAAAGATGAAAGAGTTAGGACCAAATGGTGGTCCTTGCAAAATGTGAGCAGAATGAATTTGACTTCTTTACTCTTTTTTCGCCTCATAAATTGAACAAAACATAGATCTATCTATCATTTGACGCTTGTATGTTCAATTTTGCAACAAAAGAGAGGCTTTTGCTGCAAGGTCGTTAAAGAACATAGAGAACAAACTTAAGTAGAAAACGCTTCCCAGTATCAGGTTCAAATTGATTAAACAATCTCGGTAGCCAGTAGCCTTTCGCCTGCCATATTTACATGACCGGCTCGACGCTGCGCGCGCGCCGCGGCGGATACGCGCGCACATTATAAATAGCCGGACGTCTATTTTGGTCGGGGCGCAGCAACCAGGCGCCTGCCATGTGCCCGACGTCTGGGATCCAGATCGTTGGTCAAATTAATTAAATTCTTAACATACTGAGTCAGATACGAAAAGGGACAGTGATTTTAGATGCAACTGCATACGAAGATTCAGCCAGAAGAAGAACCAGTCTAGAGTTTAAAACACAGTTAATGCAAAATATACCAAATACTCTGGTGGTGATTGACATGAAGAAAGACTTAATGAGAACAACCCAAAAAAAAGAGCATGGAAGAGTTCATACGGATAATATTGTGTTGTGATCACGAATATAAAACGTTGGCCATTTAAAATAATACTAGCAAAAATAAGTATAGCTCGAAGACATAAATGGTAAAAGAAACCATACAAATTCCCAATCTATTAGCAATCAGCCGAGATTTGGCTCTAGCAAATATTGCAGCATTTGTTGTGATGAAGACGTGACGCCATCTGCTGTCATCTTTATTTATATGTGTCTAAGCCGGCCTCGTTACGTCCATCAAAATAAATACTGTCACTAATAGAATGCGTACACTCACTGCAACGCAAGGTCAGGGACTCCAGAGTAGTTTACAAATATTTATTTTCCCACTTGCCACCACATGAACACATTTCGCGTGGGAACTTCAATTCCGATGAAGTTTTAAGGGCACCAAATGCATACACCATTGAACTTTATCTTAAGGGTATAAGAGCCAATGTGCATCGAGTTTTGAAAGATATGAAGAGGATGCAGCGAGTTTCTTTCCCAGAGACAAATTTTAGCACGTCCGTGAAATTCTTGTCAGACAACTTTCGTTTTCGTAGAATCCTAGTGTGTGACTGGTGGTAGAAAGGAGCTAATGGGTGATGATCGTTGGGAGATGTGTAAATTATTAGACGTTTGAACATCAACATTTTTCAGTTTTGAAGTAAACAAGTAGTGCTATAAGCGAGGATCTTTTAATAGATATGAATTAATCGACGGCATTCCAAAGTTGTGATGAATATTCATCGTTGCTCTAAAAGATGAGACTTTTAATCGAATGAACTAAAAAACTTCCAGTCATCAAAATCTGAATGATATTATGATGGTATCAATAGAATCGGTCAAATCATGCGGGTGGTCTATGCTATGAAAGAGTTAATAATACAACACAATAAAGCTATTATTTACGTAATTTATTCCCATTATTAGGAACACTTTTTGAACGTGCATTTGCATAACAGCGCCCTACAATTTAATTTAAAAAGCCCGACATGCAACGTGTAATTTTGTTCTGTATTAGAAGGAGCTGGGCTCTCCAAAATTTCGTAACTGCAATCAGAATTAGGATTTCGTAACCAAACGTTATCATTATTTAATGTCATGTCAGTAAAAGATTAACTTGTCTGAAAGGATTAAAAATGTTTTAGTTCATTGACCCGTGTCGTGGAACCACAAAATAATGACACTTGGCTTTTACTCGAGACCTGTTTTACCATTTCGTTAAACATTTTAGATGCGAATACTTTTGCGGCACAAGATTCAACATCTTATTATTAACAATAAGGCTACGAAATATTATCAATAATAGCATTAATATCAAACATACAAATTAATGTTTATTGTATTGGAATCTATCAGATAACAAAGAATTCAAAGATATACGAGAAAATATGTACATACAAGCGGTATTTATCTACCTCCTCGTTTATACTAATTAGTAAGTCGCTAAAAAGCAAGACATGTTTCTTGTGGCACTAATGTAATTTATTATGAATGCATAGCTATCTAATCAGGCGGACATAGAAATGCATCATTGCTAACTTTGATGTCCTATGTTGCTGGGTAAGATTCCTAACATAAACAGGCAGCATAAATCACTAAGATATGAAATCTAGGACTTCTGATCTTGGACATAGAAAAAGTTACAAGTCCAAGTCACCACGCTAAAGTATCAGAACAGAACTCAGATGCTAAGAACAACATTGTAGCAGATGAAAACTGACAAAACCAAAGAGTAACAATAATTGTTTAAATTAGACTTGCGTTGCAAATTCAGCGAACAGGAAAGGAAAACGAAACCTAGCAAAACAAATCCGATAAAAATAGACATACAATTTACTTTACAAAACAATGGTGTTAAAATAGAATTGGTTACCAGTGGAAAACTACCAATGTTGGTTAAGAGCGTTTACGTCTAGCGTGGCATGTCAAGTTTAGGTAATTTCGATGCTATTTTTATTCACAGTAAAATAATTATGACTGTGTGCGTGTTCTCACGCTCAATAGTCAAACCAAAATACTTTGATCCACCATCGTAAAAGTGTGCCAGGCTGTCAAGTGACAGCCCAAAGAAACTATAAAATCTTCAAATCTTCCAACACCGACTCCATAATTATAAATAATGGTATACATTAGTCCTAATCAATAATAAATACGTAAATTCTTTATGAAATAGTAAATTATCAAAGGTTTTTTACTATTTTGAGAATATTTTATACAGCCTATGTTCAGCAGAAAAAAAATTGAATTTTAATGGTGAGAGATTTTTTCAAATCGTTTCTATTCAAAACAAACTTTTCCTGTTTACTATTCTTTTTTTATCCGGAAAATGCATAACATATCATACCCACCAGCTGCGGGGGCAGCTAGTGGGTTATGTGGGGTTCTTCCTACCAGAAGGTGGGTAGCCCCTACACCCACTAAAAACCTGACTGTTTCTGCCATGATCCATATGAGTGATATGAGGGAACGCGGAACATCGCCATTGGCTGTTGCCTGTAGCATTCGTCCTTAGCCGCCACCAGACACCTCCATGTCTAGCGACCGAGGCCTGTTAGGAAGGGACAGTTGGAGACCATAAGCTGTCCTCTTGCGCCCAGGGTGTCGGCGGCAGATAACCGGAGTGTCGGCTGAGGCCTCTCGCTCCCCCTTTCCACTGCTTCTTTCTGTGAAAGAACCTCAGATCATAGAAGGGAATAGATGTGAAACGGGGGCGTGGCACGTGTCTCCGCGATATGCCCAGAAACGAACATCGCCCGCGACGCCAGGTTAGTCGCGATTCAGTCGTACTGAGGAAATGTTCTCCGATATTGTTGGATAATGCGTCGTAACGTGCAATAACATAAGTGAAACGAAGAACTACAGGAACAATGAAGTCATTTACCACATGTAAGTATTGCAAATCCATTGGTATTTTGCTTATAAATAAAAAAAACTAAACATTTTTACGAACTGTTATGAGCCTCTGGGGATTTGGGTTTTTAAAAAANCAGTTTCAATGTGTATGTAGCCATAAGGGAAGAAGCTTCCTCCACCACCACATTTTTTGTAGGAAATACCTAAATAAGAATTTAAGATTCGGTAGCCAGTTCCTCTGTGGTTGAGGATTCCAGGTGAAGCTCGATTCCACCTTCTGCCTGATCATTATTCTCCATCATAGACTATTCAAGCCAGAGTTTCTCTTTTAGCAAATCTTTCACATTTTAAAACTAGTCTATTAAGTTCACTTTTAAAACAATTTTGAATATTTCTCATTAAAAACCACATTGAAATTCCTGTCTAAGTTAGCACTTAGTAGGTATCGTTCGTTTCAGCCAAATGACGTCCACTGCTGGACAAAGGCCTCCCCCAAGGTTTTCCACAATGAACGGTCCTGCGCTGCCCGCATCCAGGCTCTTCCCGCGACCTTTACCAGATCGTCGGTCCACCTAGTAGGAGGCCTGCCCACGCTACGTTTTCCAGCCCGTGGTCGTGATAGTAGGTATCACTGTATAATTACTCAAGAAATAAATAAATAAAAACTCATCATCATCATCATTTCAGCCAAAGTACGTCTACTGCTGAACATAGGCCTCCCCCAATGATTAACCAGTGCTTTCCTGCTACCTTTATTAGATCGTCGGTCCATCTTGCTTAGACATCCTACGCTGCGTTTACTACTAACTACTACCAGGCCTGTTCATCTCCGCGAGTTTACATCGAAAACAAAACACGCACGATGGCCCACCTACAGGATACTATTCGACAAGGCCTCACATACGAGCGAACATTGACTCACGCACGCGTATTCTTGTGTATGATCGAAGAAAATAAAGAAAATGGTGTACTAAATACTGTGCAGTACTGCCTAAATAATAATAAAAACACAGAATGTACTTTTTTAAGTTGCCTCAAGACACTAAGAGGTAAATAAGTAGTTAATATTATTCATGATAATTCATGCTAAATCCTAAATCATGTAGGTATTTCCTCCGCCATTTTCCGCAGTTTGGCACCTCACGTCACATCACTTTACCGAAGTCAGCCCTATAGCTTCGGCGCAGTGCCGATCACTGACGTTTGTCAACAAAATGGTGCTTGACTCTTGAGACAGGCTAAATTACACCATATTGTTAATGACATTGAGCATACATTTTTTTAAATACCTTCGCGAAGTAAAACTTCTGTACGTAGTACTTATTATTATTCTGTGCTACTACTAACTCACCTATCACAATTTCCAGTGCCTCTGCCTTCTGCGTGTTGTTCTTGCTGCTCAGGTTGTTGTAGTTCAAGTTCTGCGGGACCGATGACGACGACGATGATGATGATGACTGCCCTCGCCCACAGTTGCCTTTGTTCACCGCCATCACCAGTTTGTGCACCCAGTCGCCGTGTTCACCCGTCGCCACTTCCATCACTGGAATTAGGTGAATTGATGTTAATTATCATCATCAACATCCTACTAATAAATGTGAAAGTTTGAAGATGGATGTCTGTTTACTTTATCACGCAAAAACTGCGTATTCATTATTATGGATCAGAAAAGCATTTGTAACGATATTTTGCCCTTTCTGTAACAAGCTGAATTTTAGGCGGTCAAAGCCGCAGGTAAAAGCTATTGTTTAATATAATCCAAAAAGGGCTCAATTACCAGCGGTGTGGAATATGTATTACTATGTATAAAAGTAACGTAAGTAGTCCCGGATTCGATTGCTGATACTAGGGCAGTTGAAAAAATATTGACTGAATGTGGATGTCTATTTTTCTTACCTAACAAGTGAAGTTTGTCTTAGTTATTTCAATCAAAAGATTCTTTGAAGACATTTAGAATCTTTAATACAGATACTCGTATATGGACTAAATGAACAGCTAAATTGATATAATTGAAAACATAACGACTAATTTTAAACCGTCTCAAAGTAATGTTGAAACTAAGCGGAAACCAGAGATAAAAACCAAACGCAATTGTCAATTTCAAAGGTCAATGTGAATCATGCGGCATGACTTGAACTGATCGTGTTTTGTTAAATACAAAGAAATATCACACGTTACACTTTTGCATAAAATATTTCGTAGAAATGTTCCCTTGAAAACTTTGTGTGATTGTATTTTTGTTGCAAAATCGTACGTATTGCAACTACATAGAACAGTATAGTTTGAAGTATCATCGTTTCGTATTATAAATGCTATTTCAACTACCGCGTAAATAAATCAACGACTTTATGGTAGATTGCTTGCTTTCGTGTAACTTTCATTTTCTCTACAATATGAGATTTTATCATGATAATATCCACTGTCACTTTCCGTTCAATTTAAATTCTAATTCCTAAGCTTGAACGTAATGTCTATGAATTATAAATGTTTAATATTGTTGGCCATAAATACAATATTTCACGCAGCTGGGTTAACAAATCTAAAATTCAATTCCAAACTGTAAGATGATGTTAGCAAGAGCGGCGTTAAAAATATACGTTTTCTGGAAATATAACTCACCGTAATCCGCCGGGTTGTGGTAACTGGGACAGTGCAGGCCCATAGACGAGAGGAACGGGACCAGCCCGCTCACTTTCCCTTGGTATATACATTGCCCTTCAGCCAGGGTGTACAAAAAGTCGAACATCTCGAAGAGCCTAGCGGACGGTTGATGGATGGTGCAGATGATGGTTCTCCCGCCACGCGCCAGCGACTTCAACAGCGATATGCACTGGAAACATGACGAGCTGTCCAGCCCAGACGTGGGCTCGTCGAAAAACATCACAGGCGGATTATTAACTAACTCTAAAGCTATTGACAACCGTTTCTTCTGGCCGCCAGATAGGTTGATCGTTCTAGTGTCGCTCGCCTCAGCGAGGCCTAACATTTCTAAAATCTCATCGATCACAATCTTTTTGGCAGTGACGGTCATGTCTTTCCCCAATTTCAAGTTAGCTGATACGTTCATTGCTTCTTTGACAGTCAGATGTGGTAGGAGGCAGTCGTCTTGCATGATGTAGCATGATAGTTTTCTAAACCGCCGTAGGTTCCTTTCTTTGCCGTTTATAAGTATTGATCCGCTGACGTTTGAAGTTCTGAAACGAAAGATTATTGTTAAGCATACATAGTTAATTGGAGCGAATATGGCGTTGGCACACGCCCAAATGTTTCGGCTTCCAAAACTAATTCGTCAGTTCAGTGACGTAGAAATAGCGAAGGTATCTCACGTGAATGATGTTGGAAAGAGTAAAATGCTACAAATTGTTTATTAACAATAATAAACTTTTCAAATTAAATCTCTGAAGTTTAACACTTTGAAAATGTTAAAACGTACTATTTTTTGTGTTCTAGAATTCCTAGCAGTGGAAAATTAACAGATGTTTTGTATTCAAGACAAGATGCTACATTTTTTGTCTATGTCTATTACAATAAAATTATAATGAATCAGTAAGTACCTACCTACCACGAGAATTATAAAAATGTAACGTAACAAAATGCTCATAATTTTTTGGCATAAACTTAAGGGAAATTGTTTACGTCACACCACCCTACTGAGCTACTGTGGGTGGTTTACACCCTTCTACCCAAGGTGGTCTCTGAAAAAATGTAATGGTTAGGATTTTAAGAATATGAAGTAAAACTTACTTGTATCCAGCTAAAATGTTCATAAGGGTACTTTTCCCCGCTCCCGAAGGTCCCATAATGGCCGTCAGTTCTCCAGACCGGAATGTACCGTTGATGCATTTGAGGAGGGCTTTGTACCCCCTCTTTCTGCCTTCGCTCACTGAGTACGAGAGGTCAGAGAATTCGATGTCGACTGGAGGTCTTTTGGGGAGGTGTGTGAGGGTCGCCATGGGTTTCTTCTGGTCGCCGTAGCCGTTAGGAATCTTGGGCACCAGGCCTGTCATGGCTGCTGTGCCCGCGCCGCCATTGCAGAGGTTCATTTGAGAGCCACTGGAATAGAGAAAAGTGTTGTATTAATATCATGAAAAATAAAGAAACGATGTTTAAAGGAGTCAGAGCGATGTAGGGGAGTCTTAGGTAGAGTTGTAACAGAGGAGAGTTATGATATTGTCGATCTTTTAGAAATTATTAACTAACAGCGAGCTCGTAACAGTGCGCGTGAAAAAACGTTCAAGTCTCGATTCGAAACGTTCAAGATTCTGATACTTCTTCTTCTTTTCGTGTCGACAACAAACCTACACAGTGTCAGCCCAAAACTGCGCCACAAGAGTGGTGTTGTCAGTAGCACTCATCAAATCCTCCTGAGTGCAGTTGCTTGGGCACTCAGGGCATGACATCAGGTGCTGACATTCTGATACTGATAGCTAATAAGTTTCCAAAAATCGACAATGTCATAACTCTCCTCGGTCTCCTCTAAATACAAGTATGCACGGTCTAATCCAGATTTACAAGAAGATTTAAGCTTGTTAACTACCAAGCGTTAAATTTGAGATTTTACTAGCCTGTTAGTAGTATTCAGAAACTGTCTCAAGTAAATCTTTGAGCTTGTGGTTCCATCACAGAACCAATTCTGAAATTGAACCAATCACAGACTTCAATCTACGCTGAAGTTTCAATAGTTCTAGCATGGTTCAAGAATACGGGGAATAATGTTTTATCTCGCACATTTATGATCTTTATCTTCTAAGAATAGCCACTGACTCAACTCTAAGTCATGAAAACTAACGTCTTAACAACTAAAAGATGTGTCAATATCGACTAAAATAGCTAACGTAAATGCTTCTACAGACAATTTAGTGGGGTCATTAAACAAACGCAAAAAGATACTGTAACGTATTATATTGTTCATTCAACATCGGAAAACTAACTATTATTTCCCAGCCCACAATCAATATTTTATGTAGAGCGTGGATGTGAAATTCTGCAGGGATAAGTTACGATTACATTTTTTTACGTTGAAAGTGACAACGATACATGATTCTGTTGTGTTACTAACTATAGTTTTATTTTTATTTGCATAGAGGTCAAACGATTAAAAATATTTGTAAGTGGGTAATCTCTGGTGATTAAGTTCTAATTCTAAGATTCTATCACTGATAGATGCCAAATATCATCAACTTTCACCCCGACATCACTCGGAGCTCTTTTATGTAGTAGAGTACATAATTGAAATCAATAATATTCGGAACCATGAGGAAAGGCAAGACTTAGGCCCTTTTCACACGTCCCGGTTGCCGGCTAACCGACGCCGGGTATCCGGTGGTGAAGTGTATGGGCATGGTACGTAGCTTTTACATGTTCCGGCGTAATTAATCCGGCATGCCCATACACTTCACCACCGGGTACCCGGCCCTGGTTAGCCGGCAACCGGAACATGTGAAAAGGGCCTTATACTTATACTTTTATAGAAACCTCCGACCTCCTCCAACCTCTGTTATTGCCTAACTTGTATACCAATATCGATTACATCACGGCCCTACGATTTATTATCACTGTGTGTACGCAACACTTTATTTTTATTGATTTTAGTTCTTTCTTAAGGCCACATCAGAACCTGTTTTTGTGACAATTGTTCTAGCAAGTGTATTCTGATATTGCAAGTGGTGTCTTGACATTATTTACAGCACCGTGTGAAAATTCTCACCGTGTGTGAATTTAAATCAAAATTTCTCGTAAAAATCACTTTTCCAAGAATTCAAAGACATCAAAGTCCAGTCATGTTTACCGGAAATAAGCTTTGAAATCTAGAAGTCACAAAAATGAAAACGAAAGCAATCTTCCGCTTTTTATACACTGTCAAACGATTCTTTTCTTTGTAGTTAACTGAAAGAGAATTACTGAGTCCAATGGCATTAAATTCGCCTTACGTACCAACTTTGTGGCATTAAAGTAAAATAATCAAGACACTGTTAAAAAGTTATTACACAAACTAAGAATTTCAAAGCCTCTTTAGGCAAACTGCTTCACTGTAATTGTTCATTAGAGATAACACTTGAACAGATGCTGTAGTACATCGGTATGGCGCTGCGCCAGCGCCCGGGATGGTTACGCCACGGAATGTTTTACTACTAGCGATATATCGAGACCTATGGCTTCAATGTTTTTGACCTACTTCTGGAATGGACTGAAACTGGAATAGGCTTTGGTGTATTGTTGATGCTTGTGACACGTGTATGCAATATAGGATATTATTTTTATATCGGTCCCAATTGTACTTAAGGGGTGTAAATATAGCTTATGATGGAGCGAAGAGCGATCAAGTCCTAAAAAAAGCCTTAAATACTTAATTATCCTGAAGAGTTTATTATATTTCACAAATACAGGAGAAGTGCATTGAGACCACAACTTGTGTGTCATACACAAAGACACTTGTGGTCCACAAGTGTCTTTATAGACACTTCTCCTGTATTTGTGAAATCCCAATCCCAACTTAATATTATAAATGCGAAAGTAACTCTGTCTGTCTGTCTGTCTATCTGTCTGTCTGTCTGTTACGCTTTCCCGCTTAAACCTCGCAACCGATTTTGATGAAATTTGGCATAGAGATAGTTTGAGTCCCGGGAAAGAACATAGGATAGTTTTTATCCCGGTTTTTGAAACAGGGACGCGCGCGATAAAGTTTTTCTGTGACAGACAAAATACCACGCGGGCGAAGCCGCGGGCGGAAAGCTAGTGCGAACATAATTAGGCAGACCAAGAAACCCACTTCTTCGTTGCACGCCAGAGCTTCTTATAAATCAAAATCACATTGTGCAAACAGCGGGTTTCTCAATAGCAAAAAGGCTGGAAGACTTTCATGTAGTCTGTCCTAATTCCTATTAAACAAAGGTAAAAAGTGAATTAGGAGCTCTATATTTTTGTACAATTTATGTAGTTATTGTAAACCTTATAAATGTCACTTCACTAAATATGTTTTCAGCTGAAAAACAGCGAATGTAACAAAAAACACAGTATTAGGTACTTTCAAGGGACCCGGCTAAATATAGGCTTTTGACATTGAAACAGTATCGGCATGCTTAGCGAAGGTTGTTTTCTTCTAACCTAGACAGTCACTTGAATAATAAACTTATTTTTGAAATAGTCTTTGTTGTTGTTTTGAAAGAACATAATCCGTAAATGTTTTAAATGGTCACAAATCCCGAGACATTCCATGCCAAGGGATAATAAATTATAACAAGGAGGGTAAAAAGAAGAGCTTTTATTTTCGTACAAAATAATCTATAATAACGTCTTAAAGTAAGTAGACACAGTTTTCTATTCTTCTTCTTCTTTTCGTGTCGACAACAAACCTACACAGTGTCAGCCCAAAACTCTGCCACAAGAGTGGCGCTGTCAGTAGTTTTCTATTACTTTATGTGTTTTGAGATTCATAAACGTATTTCTAGAAAAAAGCTATCACTTTTTTGTTAAATTACTGAAGCATTAGAAATTCGTCTCTAATACAAATATTACTGAAGCGTTTGATGTTGTGTCATAAATAATTTGATTTAAATTTAATCATCTCATATTTTATAATAAGAGATTGTAATGATTAAAAAAAAAGATGAAAGCGTTTAAGAATTCAAGTAATGCACCTACTTAATAATTCTGAAACATCTACTCCCTGAATTAAAGGGGACTCACCCAGGGCTCAGTACTATTCCCCTTTCTTTACAAAATCATCCCATTAGTGGGGTGTCATTCCATGCTAATACAAACCTTGCCGTACATTAATGGATTAGCTTAGGTGTGGTCAATGGAAAAGCTTTAGCGAAAATATCGATCTCAGCTCTATTATTAGAAGGCCCTTACTATGTTACTTGTTTGCATCTTTTTAGCATGCCAAAGTTTCTTGTTAAATATACTTACATAATCAATCAGGTTAGCAATTTTAGCCTGGTCAAATACGGTATTATATAAAATGAAACAAGATTATAATATATCAAATACCCGAATACGCGTAGAAGCAATCTTATAAAAATAATAAATCTTAACAATAATAATATAATCTATTTGAGATTTTGTAAGTGTAACATTATTACGCAAACGAAAAATTTTATCCGTTTTCTGCCGTTCGTGTAATTTTTCTGTCTTTTGATCCTAAATAACACCTACCTTACAAATCCCACAGAAGTATTCCCTAGTGATATGTCTTACTTTATCGCAAATAACATAATTCTTAGCAGATTTTCTCCGAATAAAACAAACCACTTTTTCGCTGAATGAGTATTCTTTCCAATGTTCAAGACGAAGCCTTATCGATGACATATTTGTTACCTTCCTAATATAGGCTATGTAATTGGATTGAATCGACATTACGCAGAGTGTTTGTCCGTCGGTTATTGTGTTTTGATGAAAGTGAATAATTATACTAATGCTAGACTTTATTGACTGACGCAAGCAAGGTTCGGGGATGGAGGCCGCGTACCGGAAAATGCAGCGTGGGACGGGACAAGGTGGACCGACGACCTAATAAAGGTAGCAGGAAGGCGCTGGATGCAGGCCGTTACCAACCGTGCGATGTGGAAGTCATTGGGGGAGGCCTGTGTTCAGCAGTGGACGTCCTGTGGCTGAAGTGATGATGATGATGATGATGAGACTTTATTGGTGGCAATTTAGGTCTTGTAATTAACTAGATTTTATAACTACAGTAAACAGTTATGCATATCAGACTACTTTTGGCAAAATGTCACCTTTTACAATTACAGAAGTTACCACACTATTTACCTTCATATGACGTCACTCGTACAAAAATAGATTTAACCTTTTGTGCTCGTACCTACTAAAGTATAAATAAATTAGCTTAACTGTTGTTGTAGGGAATTGACACCAATGAACTCTCCATTTGTTTACCCAGTTCGGTCAACATTTACGTAATTCTTATACAAACTTCTGTTACTATTCACTTGATGTAGGTAGGTACTCGTACTATTACTTACGAAGAAAGTACATTTTACCGTCATACTACTCGTATACTTTCTAAGTAATAGCTAAAGATGGACTCGGAGGCAAATTGTAACATCAGCGATCACAATAGATGGAAACAGATCGCAGCGATACTAGAACCTAATTGCGCCACTTTTTATCATCATCAAGTCAACAAATCTCTCACTGCATGAGCAAAATCCTCTCTAATTTACTAGGAGCAAATGGTGGATTGGCCTACGCTAGAAATTTTTGGAGTAAGGTTTGTTCCCATTTACTCCTACGGGCTTACCACCAGAGTGGTGATTGGCAATAAATAGATGGCGTTTATATTCCCATCTGCCTTGCCTCAAATAAAAAACACCAAGTCACCTTCGTACACGACTTGACTAACAAATGTTTAATCATCGACATTCTTACGTCAGTCTACGGTATCGATACCACTTGCAAATTGGATGAAACAAAACGGGACCGGATGGTAAATGACGTCACATGCAGGTAACGGTACAGTGAACTAATGCGTGATCTTTTATACATAGAAACATTTATTTTGCATTTTCCTACTAAAGTAATATTTAAAAAAAAATCCGTGCGTTATGTTCCTCTAAAAGTTAGCGATGGCGATGGCGATCAGTAAAAATCATTAGGATCGCCATTGCCATCGCGCACGCTAGCTACATGCGTTGGAACTTTAATAAGGTGTTAAAACTCACAGAAACAACAATCGTACCTAAACTCCCGGTCTCTAATTGTAATTCACTTACTTAGTTTAATATGTTTTTAGAACAGAGCCTAACATTCAAGAAATGGCAATGCCAGATTTTGTATGGAAAGTGGCGTCTTTCTTTTTTTCGCGCGGCCATCGACCAAACTTTGTTTTTTGATTACAAAATAGTGTAATAAACCAAACTTACTATGGCATGTATACCTCTAAACTCAGTCTGAAATGAGTTACGAGCATTAGAAGTTTGATGATTTTCATACTAGATTTGCTTTTTGCGCGCAAGTTTTGTAAGAAATTGCAACAAAATATTGCGCTATTTTTTTATTGCGCTGATTCTGCTCCATACTGATGTCTGGAGCCTATAATGGATGGTATTGTTTGTTTACACATACAATGCCACTATTTCATTTTTGGTGGCGATTATTATACAAACGGAAAAGTAACTTTTATGTAAATGAGACCGAATGCGTGAAGGGCGCCCATTAAATTAGAATTTCATTGTCGCCGGGGAATGCTTATTTTATTATTTCTTTCTAATTGTATTACGGCATCGCAGGACAATGACAAATAATGTCATACGTTGACTTAAACACATCACTCGTGTTTGTAATATCATTAACACTTACGGAAGTGTATTACTCGTAGAATTACTTGTGTGTTCCTTTTCTTCTGTTATGTTATTTGTTTGGTGTGCAATAAAGTGTATTTATGATTATTATTATAATACGAACATCCCAAGTTTTCAAATAATATTTTTCCATCACATCATACCATCTAATTTCAAGTAAAATGGATAAACTTTCTTTGAATTTGAAATCCACTTGAAAATGTTTAGAAGTCTCAATAAAAGAATACCTTCAAAATAGCTGAAAATGTGATTAGGGATCTAAAATAAACCGAAGCAGCGTTAATCTATGTATAGCAAGAGGGTCGATGACATCACTAAGGTGATGCAGTTTAAACGGACATACAAATCAATTTGACTTGGACAAGGCAGAGGGAATTTTAGCCAATTTTTGCTCAATTTAAACTGCTTTTTGGTGAGGTCATTTTCGTTTTATTTTATTCATTTGGAGACTAGCGGTCCAATTTAGAGTTTCAAAAGTTTAAGGAATGGCCTTCACTAAAACTAAACTTCGCAATGGAGTTCTATCTACGCAGGGATGTGGTCTATCAACAACAACAACAACTTCAGAACGGATTAGGCTGTTTAGGAAGCTATAGTTATTTTAACGTAGATATAGTAGGCATCTGTTTAGAAAGGATTTTCGAAAATTCATAGGGAAACGGAAGTCCAAGTGTATGGAGGAAAAAGAGCTTGTAGTCCACGCAGACCAAGCTGAAAGATAAGTATTCTTCTATTTTCCCACTCTTCAAACGTCCTTTTTCATTAGAACAGTTATCAACGGGATTGCTACCATATACTTTTTATTTACGAGCCTCCGATATTGAAGAAAGATCCGCACTGTTGCAAGCGCCATGATCACACGATCATGGTTCTTTTTCAGTTCGTTCGTATCAGCCAAATGACGTCTAGACTGGATAAAGGTCTCCCCCAACCCAAAGATTTACATAACGACCGGTTGCGCTGCCCACATCCAGGCTCTTCCCGCGACCTTCACCAGTACCTCTAGCATGAACAACATTCGTCTTCGAATCGTTTGCGTATTTGACAAAATTCGATACTCAACCTTCGAATTAAACGATAATGCGACAACTTTGATTCTGAGAATAAGTTTCATGCATCTATTTCTCATACTAAGTTCACTCTACGACACGTTCACAAGGGCGCTGTTGTAGTTTTCGTACTAAATCTGTTGATGGCGATTCGATTACGCAAACGATTCGAACTCGAAAGTTTTTCGTGCTAGCCGTGCAGATCGTCGGTCTACCTAGTTTTTCAGTAAGTATTTGCGTTAAAAAGAAGGTCCCTTACCCCATCAGCTGTCCATTGTTGAGCTGCTCAGCCACCGGCGGGCTCTTGGCCTGCGAGAACAGCACCTTGTCTGTGATCTCGCCGCGGGAGCCGCGACCCATCAGAGGCAGGTGGATCTGCGTGCCCTTGGACTCCATCTTTAGGCCGGGCGTCATCGCTGCATTCGCATCGTGTGAAAGGTAGCCCTGGAAGGAATGGATCTTGGTTATTGCAAACGTTAAGGAAACCTATAATGTCCTCACTGCACGGCCTATCTCACTTCGAATGTAGCCAAGTGCGGATTGATGGAACGGCGTGTGTAAGGTAAACAAGTGGTTTAAAACTTAGAAAGTTTGTAACTATACCATAACCCAAGGCAAGCAAGGCATAGGTCTGAATTTCAACTATGAGGGGTGGCTGACACGTTTCAGATTGGTGGAGGTATGTTTATAATTATAAGGTAAGTGGCCACCGTTATCAGTCACAAGTTGCTTGCCTTTGACTGTAGGTGAGACCGAAAAGAGCTGTAACATTGTAGATTTTTGGAACCCTTGCAACTGCGCATATTTGTAAGTTCGAGACTTGAACTAAAAAACGCGCACTGCAACAAATGCCACTTGAGGTGTTATAATCGAGAGACAACAGAATATCAAAACAAAAATTTTCCAGTGGATTTTTAACTAGAATGAACTTTATTAATGTGTTGTCGACTATACTTATTAACTTTGACACAATGATCTTGACAACGATAGGTTGTTTTACGCATATTAATAAGTAGGTACCTACCTACCTACAGTCATACATAAAGAAAACAAGTAACCTACCTCACATGTTCGTCGTTTGTGAGTACATTTTTTGAACAAGAAAGAACTTAGCAGTTTTTTTATTGACACGTGTGTCTAACAGTTTGTATAAGGAATAAAAGGTCAACTCTTTACCATTATACGTATGTCTATACATATATTTATGTATAATATTTATGTATATTTATGTATAACGTTTTTGTGTCGAACTGCTAGGTACTTCTTAGTGATAACTTTCAGCGAGGTAGAGTCACCATACAAAATATTAAAATTCCGCAAATAATTATTGTTAACCTTTTTAACTAAAGATGTAAGGTCAAAATTACATCTAACATAATCAGTCTTTCTTTTAAACATATTCGATGTTCAACTGTCATTTAGTCAGTACGATGGCAAGCAGAACTGATGTTCATTGAAACAAACGAAGCACCATCATCATTTTTTGTCGCTGCTCAGATGCGACCAATCATTAAACAACCATTATTTTTTAGAATGAATATCCGGGTTATTGACCTTGTGACAGGTTATTGAACCTTCTTTGTTCACTTGACAGTAATTTCATTTGATATCGTACCTTGTAATATAAGGTCCTAAAAGCATTGGCTGTAATTTATCGGCCGTTTGGTGTAGTGGTTCAGAACGGACTACTATGCCGAGAGGTCCCGGGTTCGATTCCCGGCCGGGCAGAAATTGAAATGATGAATTTTAATTTCTGTGACGGGTCTGGGTGTTTTATATGTATAATATGTATGTATTTACAAAAAAAAATGTATTTAAGTATGTTTATATCCGTCGTCTAGTACCCATAGTACAAGCTTTGCTTAGTTTGGGACTAGAGGCGCAGTGTAAAATGTCCAAGGATATATAAATTTGGGAAAAGAGCTAAGGAAAAGGATCTTCCTTCGGGATTCAATAAAACTATTCGAAATGTCACTTTTAACAAGTTACTTTTAGTTACTTACTATTTCTCTACCGATAACTAACTGCTCTCATAATAGAATAGAATTCATTCATCATCTAATAACATCATGATTTTCAATAAAACCACAAAACTGACATTATGAGTCAAAACTACGACAAGTTCCAAAGCTACTCGCATTCTAAAATAATGCACAAAAGTCTCATTTAAACTCGCAAAACCTAAAACAACAATGGCACAACCTAAAATCTTTTCAGCATCAAAAATCTTAAAAGCGTGAAAACAAAACACCAACGCGTCCAACGCATACCCCAGTTATCCCTAAAGGCCATAAAGTACGACCCAATTTAGAACAATTTAAATAACTTTAACAAGTCTTAATTCAGTGTCTGGTGATCCGCCCACGTTCCAAAGTTGAACCTCTTTTTGACCAGTTTGGACCTGAGTTAGACAAAATATTTATTTAACTGTCATTTTATTTCCAAATCGCACTGACTGAAATACTAGTATAAATACAGACGACGGCACATCAATTTAAAAACTGGAATATAATAAGAGTGAGTTAAATAAGAACCTTCTTTTAACCAAAACTCTACATTTTTACGTTTAGTCTACGATCATGTGAGTTGTAGTCCATTTAGTTAATCACAACTACCGAATACCTAACAAAGACCTTATTTTTGTTACAGTGCTTTGTTGGTAAGCAACTCAAAAATTCTAGGCACTATTTTCGCCTACATTTGACGGGTTTTTGTTTCGCTTTGTAAAACATTCAGACAGTTTTTTTGGGTCAGCGGAAGGCTTAGTTTTTTCGATTGAAACTACTGCTGTATTATAAGTGGGAGTTAGGTTTTGCACCCACAAAAAGCTTGCTAAAAGCAATACGTAATAGTTCAAACGACTACGAACACTAATCGAAGCTTAGCCCCGGACTGGGAGGTCTGAGACCGCAGTGTAGGTCGGGGTTGTAGAGTCGAAAGTTTTGTCCGGATTCCCGTTATTTCTCCCAATAAAGACGAATGACGAAGCTCTGTGGTTATTTTAATATTTACGCCCACGTTTTGCCACGAAAACAGGTTAGATTTTTACCAAGTTAGAAGGACGAAGGAAATCCAAAAACTGACCCTGGTACTCCGTCTTCTGCCTTGAGTGAGAGACTGTTGTAGTTAGGCTTTTTATGTAGGTATCCCTAGTTTTTAGCGTCCATTTCTAGGGTAAGGTTGTGAAATATCAGTGCCTGCAGATAAGTGTCGCCCGAAAATACTAAAAAAATATAGACTAGACATATTTTTTCAGTGTAGTCGGACGACTGGTCACATCAAAACCTATTACGGGGTTAGAAACATAAATGTTGATCCTAAAAATTTGTTAGTTAAACTGATGCGATTGGACAAGCTGTTCTTTATGAATGAGATGTTTTTCACAGAATCAGTAAACTTATTTAAATTTGAAATTGTTGTAAACACTTTTTAAATTGAGTAAATATTACGAATACAATGGATTACCTACAACGGTACATACTCATACCTAAAGATCCTAAAATAAACATGACACATAATTTGTAAACTGTGTCACTTCATTTTCTTTATGAGTCATTTATGACCCAAATTGTAAAAGCAAAGTCTACTGCACTTGTACGAGTGTATTTTTTCATTTGCGCGATAATATCTTTAACAGTTACTTGTAAACCATTTAGACCTTCACTAATATATAAATAGTGAATATTTTAACATTATAGTGCTAGGCGTGAATATTTTATAACATTTACATACTCATAAATACAAACATTCAATGGAAAAATACAACATTTCATTATTGGTAAAAAAAATTACAACCATAATTTTAACTTGTCATCTTCAAGACAAAAACTTTATTATTATTTTAGATAATGTTGCTAACAGATGTAACAATTCAATTTGCATTTATTATGTAAATGATCCTTACGGGAGACCGAGGTAAGTAGAAACAGAGGAGAGCAATTGTGACATTGTTGATTGTTGAACTTATTAAGTGAACTCGAAAATGCGCGATTTTTAGTTCAAGTCTCGAGCTACCAAATGTGCGCTGTTGCGAGCTCGCTGATGTTACAGGTTTCCAAAAATCGTCAATTTCACAACTCTCCTCTGTTACAACCACCTCAGTCTCCCCTACTTTATCTTACTCTTCATTTCTATGTAAATTATTACAATACTACTGAAACAGAGATTTACTCTTATTTAATCTGTTCGAAAAGTAAACGAAGATGGATAATGGCCGTCTGAACAATGAGCAAAGGACAGCTATTGTCTAGTACCGTCGACACTTCTTCAAATAACATTTTCACAACAACTCCGTCAATTTATTGAGAAAAATCTTTTCTTAATTGACTCTATCCGACTGATTTGATCGACGTTTTATCAATTCAATTGTTTTTTTCTTTATTATACCTACTAAATGTGTACGGTGATATTGTGAATAATGGGAGTCAAAAGAGTAAAGACTGAAGAAGATGTTAACAATTTTCCTCGATATGTAAAGAAGAGAGTCAACTTTACTTTATCTTTGTTTTGTTTGATGTGAAAAAAAATTTCAGGTTTTCTATCCCGATTGTAAATGCTAGAAATTATGTAATTAGATGATGTGTATAGAAGTAGATGCTTATAGTAATTATTAATTATTATTGAAAAGAACAAGTAGAAGCCTTTGTAAAAGATTAATGGATGCTGACATTTCAACTACATTGAACAAGAAAGATTTGTCTTTTGTTTTCGTTTAGTCAGCGGAAAAGGTTCCGTCATCATCTTATTGACTGTTAATATTTCTCACCAGATGACAGTTAGTTACATAACCTCATGCTAAACACAGTGGCATCTTATGTAGTTTTCATTTAGTGCTATTTTGCAACGAGAATGTAGTCTAATGTTACTTCTGACGCAGGTAGACATGGGTCTATCTAATCCATCTTCATGGGTCGAGAGCAGGATCGGCGTAATGCGGGTCGAAGCTTGTTTAGGCTTTAAGGGTCCTTAATGAAGGCCTGGGCGGCTCTCATTAGGGGAACCGTATGAGCGAGGAGTATTTTTCGTTCCTTCGAATAAACTGGGTCAATTTCCTTGACGAGTATTTCGTGTCGTGTGAAAATTAATAAGTTAAAAGTTAAAGAAAAATTAAAGCGTTAAATATTTTTCTATTCTTTCACTCAAAGTCAGAATACTCTTTGTTAAACCTTTTTGAAATTTATCGCCTTTTACATGCGGCTCACTATATCTACTAACATATCCAAGTACTACGACAGTATGTGTACGTTTGTGTTAGCCAGATCGTCATCTTCAGTTAGCCATTATAAGACTATTTTAACGTTAACCTAATCGTTAACGTTAATCCTATAGGATGTAGTGATTGAAAGAAGAAACGAGAATGATGATGAATTATTTTGAAAATTAAAGGATTTGCCACATTGGATGGGTTCTACGGTTAGCGGTCATGTCAAAGTAGACCCAACCCG